AGAGCCTGATACCAATGCATTTTACAAATATCATTTCTCATAATTATCTTCTTTCATTATGGCAGTTAATAATTGTAATTTGCAAGCAAAATAATTAGCGAGTTTTAATTTCATATTTGCCTAGAAAATTAAAAATCACATGTCCTGCTGTACAGTATGCTAGTGATTCTTTTTAAATTTTGTATGACTTTACAACACTACCATTTAACTAAGCCATAGCTACGTGTATATTATATTTTGTGCTGATGTAACTAACAAGATAGACATATTAATGGAATTTTATTGTGTTAATAGAGTGAAGAAGAGAACATACCCTTGGAACCTTTAGAATTGGAGAATGTGGAATCCCGTCAGACCAAAGTGAGATTATAGATTATAATCACTTACATGTACTCTGAATTGTATGTTCAGTCAAATATTTACTCTTTATGTCATTTGATAGCCAATGTCCTCTCCATGGCTGGACAGGCAAGAGATGTCAACAAGCCCATTGTACTATCATGATGAGACGTCAGCTGAGCTAGTAAGTAATATAATAATATAAAATACATGGACACACGCACACACGTATAGACCCCTTTAGGCGAGAATTAGTTTGTGATACCGTATATCTATTTTATACACAAAGAAATAATATCAAACGGGTTTTCATCCGCCATGTTTTACATCAAAGTTATGTAAAGTTCCAATGGCTGATGTGCAAAGTAGAGCTGTTTTGCCAAACAAGTTTGTTGTGCTCAACTCAGTATGATGAGAGGCTTCCTATCAACTGTTCTTTACTATAGCAAGATATTTTGAGGACTTAAGAAATCTGGGAGGGCCAGAATGATCAGTTTTTGACTCCCCTCACCGCTCAAAAAGGAAAGCAGGCTCATGCAACAAGAGTATTGCACTATACTTCCTAGGTGGGCTTTCTTGGCATCTTTTTTTACTCTAAAGTAGTTTTTAGCTTCAAAATGTAGTGGCCAGGATCTCCAGGACACAGAAAGCACTTGCTGCTTGACGTAAAAGATGTCAGCCAATTATTGTACGTGGACGTATACCGTAACTGAAATATAATGATATTCATTTCAAAATTAATGATATTCACAAGCTACTACTTTTTACCTAAAGGGATCTATAGAAATTATGGCCTTACAGGCTACCGTATAGTGGGAAATTTTGGAGTGAATTAAATTTGGCAAATTTGACATTTTTATAGCCTTTCGCCAAAATAAAATATGCCATTTTGAGCCATATTCTACGCATGCTCAATGGCATGTGGCCACTAATTTGCCAAATTAAAATTTGTCAATCACCAAAATTTAGCAATTCACTAAATTTAGCTGCCTCTAAAATTTCCCGCTATACAGTATACTGCTGAAACCAAACCTGCATATACACAACCATGCATTGTAATCCTGTGCATTATAATTATTTTGTACTAATTTTTATAGCAGCAGACTCATGACAGGGCACCATACAGGCCTGAAAAGACTACTGCAGTAAGAGTAATGATTCAAAATTTTGCACACACATGTATTACATGTACTTTCAACAGGGACAGAGAGAAGTAAAAAGATGTAATATTTTATAATTTTCAATCGCAATAGAAAAAATAAAAATATTAGCTACTTTTATATTTTGTTAGTTTAGGTATTGTTATTATTAAATTTATTAATTAAGAAAGGAGTCTGTAAATAATTGCAACTCATAACAATAATGTATATACATAAAGTTTGGTATTTACTATACATTAATATCAACAGTATCATTTGTTTCATTAGTGTTAGTAGATGCATGTGGTGAGGGTACTGTGTTACTTTTCATTCCATCATCTTCCTCTGATTTTCCACCACAAAAACTCATTGCATTCCAAATCCTTATTAATATCTTCCTTATATACAGCACTGGACAGGTGCAAGTTGACAAACAAACTAAAGTGTGCATCTCTGTTTAACATGTGTGTATAGTTTTATGTCTGTAACGTGTAATGTACATCAGTTTGTTGATATTAATACATAAGGCTATACACTAACAACATACTCACTAGATAGTGCACTAGTTATACATGCACCATACACACTCACTATACAGTACAGGCTATCATGATTACTTTTAGTTTACATATTGTGTGTATCATGCCTGTATAGTTTATCTTAGTTTGCATAAGCTACATTTGTCAACTTGCACGTGTCCAGTGCTGTAGTTTAGGCCTAAATTAAATTTTCAGCCAGTAAGTAAATGATTTGTATAAACTACATGTACATGCAATAGTAAATGTGACCATGTATCATATAAACTGGTGATATAGTGAGCCTATACTGAAGGCCATATCTACATGTACATGTGTAACTTTTTACAACACTGCCATTTAAAATAAGCCATTATAAGTGATGTCATTTTGGCAAACTGAAGTCATTTAGAAAGAAAATGTTTAAGTGTTATATGTATTTTTTAGTGTCTATAAG